TAAACTAGTCTTGTTAGATCCATAATGACTAAGATTCTTCAATGTTATGCTATTTAGGTTTTTTACATTTCTTGAAAATATTTTTCCAGAACTGAAATGTTGTTGTATTTGTTCTATGTTCCTGCTAGATGTTTACATTATCTTCTTCATTTGAATTTCATCTTTCTCCATAAATATTCAAATGTTCAGTACTATCAATTGATGTTTATTTCTAGAGCCTCTTTCACTAGATCTCTGCTTCATTTACATTTGTTGTTCTAAAGTTGTCACCCTACGACTTTTAAAAAAGTATATTTCTGTGCTACTCTCCTTTTACAAGCCTCGTAGTATGTTCGTTAGTTACTCCCTTATTTAGCTGGATACATATCTCTCCATACCTTCATAAAAATGGATGCAGAGAAAGTAAATCTTTTGAAAGCCTCTGCATTAGGAAAATTATCTTCTTTTCATCTCAGTTGACTGATAGTTTGATTGGTATAAAAATTATAGTTGCTGAATAAATACTTTTCCCTCAGGTTCAAAAGCACTGTTACTTTTTTGACTCATATAAGAGTTGTTCAGAAGCCTGATCCAAGGGGGGGGTCTCGTTTTGTGTGATCCTTTTTTTCTTTCTTTCTTTCTGGAAGCTTTGATAAACTTTCCCTGATGTTTCAAAATACCTAGTACTGGCTATTATTATATGATTATTAAATTAATGTGGTCACATGAATGTGCCCTTATAGGAAATATATATTTTTTGAGATGAGGTCTCACTCTGCATTGCCAGTCTGGAGTGCATGGCTATTCACAAGGTGCAATCATAGCACACTGCCAGCCGCTAATCCTGGCCTTAATAAGGAACTCCTGCCTCAAACCTATGAGTAGCTGAGACTACAGGCATGGTGCCACCCCTCCTGATTGTTGTGATTGACTTACCATTTTCAGTTCTGAGAATTTTCTGGTATGTTTAGCTCATATCTCTCCCTAGAGTTTTCTGCATTCTCACTTAACCAAAACTCAGTTAAGATATTAATTCCGTACGATTGGCATTCTATAAGGACTCTAAGCTTTTTTCCCTGTTCTGTATTTTCTATGTTCTTTACCACTTATCCCATTTTTTGCCGAAACAAAAATTTATTTAATCATTCAATGTTTATATTTAAGTTTTTCTTTAACGCTCAAAAATATTTATAAGCTTTTTTTGTTTCTCTGAGTGTTTTTCATGGTATCCTGTTATAAACTTATAATTCTTCTCTCATCTATAATTATCTATTTATTCTTTAATGTATTTGTTAAAAATGTGATATGTAGTATTATATTATTATTCATTTTTAAAATAAAAGTGAGTCACGGGAAGTTAAAAACTTGTACAAGTTGTATAAGCTTGTAAAGGGCACTTAAGGCCTAAGCCTACTGTTTATCTATATAAAATAACATATTTCATTACAGTTTACTATTAAGATTTAAATGGGTAAATACACATGAAGCACTTAGAAAAATGGGTGTATTATGGAATAAATTCTAAATCAAATATTAGCTCTACTAGACTTTTTCTCTGTGGATATTAATCAGATATTCCAAAGGTCTTCTGTTTCTGTATTTGTCTATCATTGTCCTTTTTTTTGTAGATAGTTTATTTTATGTTGTAAGCATTTCCTTAAATGCCTTTGGTCCTGTGCTATCTTTCTCATATTAGAAGATGACTATCAATGTGACAGTTGACTTTTGTGAGTGAACAGGGCCTGCTGATGGCAGGGCTTTATTCTAATGTAACATGGCGTAGGCATTATTCTTGGGAGTCACCCCCAAATGTCAGTATTGTAAGTTTTATTGGGATGTTCATATTCTCTGGATTTAAATTATAACAGTCCGGCTGTGTGGGTGGGATGGATCAGATATACTTTTATTTCAATCTGAAACAGTGCATATGAAGGCTAGATCTCCATTCAGAATGCAAGTTTGCTACTCTCCCTTACCTTAGTTTCACATTAACATTGTGCTCAATTCTTTCTGTCTCAAGAGTAGAGAAAGTCCATTTATTCCAAGAATAAACTTTTCATTCTCTGGCCTGAGTACTTTTGTCTATGTAGGATGTTGAAAGAACAGAGAATTCAACTCTCCTATATATACCTCCAACTAATAACTTTTTTTCAGTCCTTAACTGACTTCAGTCTTATTACGGCATCTGGTTCTCCAATCTTTACTAAATGAGATCTGTGGAAACCCACTAGTTTCTTTGATGTATCTTCAATGCAGGAACTTAGACATTTCTTGGAACTAAGTCAATGGCTCTTCATGTTTTCCTGTTATCAAAAATAGCTATTCACTCTGTGCATTCGTTAGTCTTGTAGGCTCTTTCATTTTTATACTTTTTGTCAATTTTTAGTGGGTATTTGTAAAAGGAGGGAAGGGATAACTCTTATAGTCATTTTCAATTTCTACTTTTCTGTACCAATTTTTAACCATATATCTAGCTGCATTTTAGACATTATTGAACTTAACATTTAAAAAATGAAACTTGTTGATCCCTCCTCCACCCATCTTCAGGTACTTTAAGATCTCTATAGTGGACATCGTTGATGAGACCTAGAATCTATTCCAAACAATTTCCTCTTATGCGCAACCAATGTGCTTTGGCTAGTACTGAACCACCGCAAGTAAAAGGTAGTCTGAGACAGATTAAATAAGTAAGGCCAAAGATAGTCTTTGATTTGGAACTAAAATCTTCATATAATTCATACATCTTGAAACAATGATTGCTTTTGGTGGAGACCATGTTCTTAGTTGGTCTAATCAAGTGAAAATACACTTTGGGGAAAGATTTCTCTCAACTTTCCACTTCCTGGGTGGAAAAGAAAGCAGGATTGTCATAGGTGATGGCTAGAATAAATTCTGGAACGCTGGAGAAGCCAGCTTTAGGAGTAAGAGTCTGCTTTAAATGAAACTAACATGTTCATGCTGTGTACTTAGGAAAATTTTCTGTAAATTATGAAAAACATGGAACTAATTTATGGACCTATTATGTGTTCCCACCCTATATCTTCCTCATTATCTTACACCACTTCACAATCATCGTATAAGGAAACATTGTTATAAAATAATCTTCTTGTGCTGTTAGCACTATTTAAATGTCTCATCTCATGGTTAATTCCACTTCATACTTCTGAAACGACCACTATGTTTGCCCTTTCTCTTACCACCTAAGAAGGGCAAAGTAGTGATGAATTTATCGATTAACAATCAGTTATACCCTCCTGGTTTTGGGATAACTATTTTCTCAGAAAGATACAAACTCCCCGGGACAGGAATCTCATCTTGTAGTCTGGTCTATTCACCACAACCAAGTACAATGTTGTGTGGAGAGGTGGGAAGATACTTGAATAATGCTTGTAAAACAAATACAAACATCACACAAACTATAAAAATAAAACATTGTTCTGAAAATGGATATTATCTGTAATTGCTTAAACACAATGGATGACTTAAATACAGATTTGTTTTCTGGGTAAACATTTATGTCACGAAATGTAGGTAGCTTTCATCAAACTGGAAAAACCTGTGAGACGCATGGTGGCGCTGCAGATTAAATCGCGAAAACCTACACTGGCTGATGCCAGTGGACCCTGTTACCCAGCGCGCACAGAGAATTGGGAAGGACAGACACGCCTTCAAGGGATAACTAGTAGCCATTCAGCGGGTTAAACTCCTCGGGCTTACTTCTATCTGGTGGACAGGATCAGGGAGGCACATTTCCCAGAACTGGGAAGTGGAGCTGAAGCGATTCTGCAAGAAGCACTCGGAAGAGCTATGTTGAGAACGGAGGGCAGGCACTCTGTGGATAAGGCAAGTCCTGCTTCTTTTGTTTTCCGGAATGTCTCAGGTGGGCTGCCGAGCCTGGGCGCTTTTTGGTGGCTGAGGAATGCAGGGGAAGCTTGTCGGCAATGTGGCAAAGGACCTGGGACTGGACGAGTGGGCCGAGCTGACCTGCGCGCGGAGCTGCGGCTGGTCTCTAATGATAACAAACAGCGTTTGCGGTTGGAAGCACAAACACTGGCGGATTGCTGTTAAGCGAAACGCTAGACCGGGAGGAGCTCTCGCTCCGCCGGCCTTGTGTACTGCATTCAGTGTTGATGAATAATCCCATGCAGTTTTTACAGATTGAATTGAGGTAGGGATATAAATGATACTCTCCGTGTATTCTTGGAAAGAAATGCTCTTAGAAATCCCCAGAGAATAGTCCTGCTGTGCTGGCTTCTATGCTAGAAAGTGCAAAGGATTTAGATGTAGTGTCAATGCTGAAAAAGCTACAACAATAAGCCCCAACTCTCATTTCCACATTAAAATGAGAGTCCATCCAGACAATAGGAAATACCCAGAGTTAATTCTGGACAAGTTGGATTATGAAGAGAGCCCGAGCTCAGTTTTCATCCTCACTGCTGTACGGTGTCCCTCCCAGGTCTGGGACAGCCTTGTTAGGTGGTAGTCATGGGACCATTAATGACAACACCCCCGAGTTTGAGCAGACGTTTTATGAGGTGAATATCCAGAAAACAGTGTTACTTGGCTCACTAGTTGTCACCGTCTCGGCTTGGGACTTAGATTCTGGAATAATGGGAAATATCGTATACCTTTTCCCATGCCTCGGAAGAATTCGCAAGACATTTGAAATTAATCAAAAAGTCAGGGGAAGTTAGTTTAAAAGCATCCTTGGACTTTGAAGCAATGGATTCATACTCAATAATCATTCAAGCCACAGACGGGGAGGACTGTTTGGAAAATCAACAGTCAGAATTCAGGTGATGGATGTGAATGACAATGCTCCTGAAATACCGGTCATCAATACCAGTCCAATCCCAGAAATTGGCCCTGAAACTTGGTTATGGTTTTTAGTATCCGAGACAAAGA